CACATGCAAAACTATATTTGAATGAAAATTAAATAGCACCAGATTGTGTGGCTTTAGATCATGATCAGATTAAGGGAATGACATGAGAGACCTTGGTGTCCATTTTTTTTAAGTGACTCTATTACTCAATGCAGAGGTATCTAATCCCAACAAGAATTTATTAATATTCTAAGAATTCAACCCTTTGCATGTGTGAAACACCAGTGAGTGTTTGTGAGGTGCTTTGAAATCTTGAGTTCTGAGCACGCTGAAGAACTTCCACTTTAACTTCCTTACTATGTTTGATAGGGCAAGAAACAATGGCATGTTGAGGTGAAGGTCACATGGGGGTCAGTTGTAGAAACAGAAATACAACCCAATACTTATGACTGCTCCTACCTCAGACTGAGATCTAGGTTGATCCCTGTTACACTGTGTTACAAGACAAGGTTAGTAACATGTCTTGTTACAAAATATTTGCATCCTTGGATCTAAGCGTTAACAATAAAAACTGACTAATCCTGTGATTCACTTTATTTGTGTCTTCTTTAAATGTGAGGATAATACTTCTCCAAAGGAATTACAAGCCTGTCAATTTTCCATGAGTATGGTAGCCTTGTAAATCTCAATGTATAATTACAAAATTTGCTTTAAATCATAGCACCCGTTGGGATGAAGTCACCAGGTGCTCTGTATGCACTACTTTTTATTTCCTTGGAAACACGTCTCTCTAATGGGTCACAGAAACGCAATGGTAATGAATTCTTCCAGGTTTGGGAAACAAGGTACAGGGTATGTTCTCTCTTCTTTATGCATGAGGATAATAATTGTCCAAAGGAATTACAAGTGTGTACATTTCAAGCTTGTTCATCTGCAGTATAGTAATAAAAATTTCAATATAGAATTCAAATGGGAAAATTTTTTGGAACAAGACAATTTAATTCTGGCCCAGTGTAAATACCCATCACTGAGACAACAACTACAAATAAAGAGAGTTAAAGTGAATTACAAGACTCTTGATGGTTGATTATTGTACACACTGAGATGAGAAGATGTTTCACCCAAAAGTTCCCCCCAAAATTATCAAACCAAAAGAAAAAAAAATCCCAAATGAGCGTCTCTAAGAGTTACTCTCAGGTTAGTGACGTATCTGGAAGCGTCCAGTAGGGTTCAGGTGATACAGGTTAGTGTTTGGCATCAGTAGGCCCAACTATTGGGATTTCTGACTCTGCCAATCGCTCCCTGCCTGACCTTCACCTGAATGTGCCTCCCTTTACCTCCGTGGCAAACAGGTAGAATAGTAACTTGCAGGGTGGATTGTCTGAAGCTTCCTCTGAACTAAGCACTTCAAAGCACTTCACAAACACAAACACTCATCAAATATTTTACTGCCAAAAGAAGTGTATTATTATAGTTGTAATCACTTTTTACTGGCATTAGATCTTCCAATATTGTAGATTAGATTCACTGTAAAAATGCATGTCAGGGTCTCAGATGTCATTCCAGTGCTCAGTTCCTTATGCCTAGTCTCCAAAATTGGGGCTTTTTGATTTTTGTTCAGTGTAGCTTTGCATTTCCCTTTCATATATATTTTAAAGTTTAAGGGCAGGTGCTGAGCCAGTGTAAAAGGGAACAGTTCCATCAACTTCACATTCAAGGAAGGGACTTTACCCAGCCCAGATTAGATAAAACGTTGTTTGGAGTTCATCTTTCTTTGCAGAGTCTGCATCTCCACCCCCGTCTGATCAGATTCAATGTTCAGTGATATCAATGGGAAACATCAGGTCAGGGCCGCCCGGGGGAGGCGGGGTGTGTCCAAGTGGGGCAATTTGCCCCAGGACCTGGGCCCCACAGGGGCCCCCACGAGAATATAGTATTCTATAGTATTGCAACTTTTTTTTTATGGAAGGGGCCCCCGAAATTGCTTTGCCCCAGGCCCCCTGAAGCCTCTGGGCGGCCCTGCATCAGGTACTGCATCTCCATCCATGAGCCACTGAGAGAACTGGGTCTTGTGAGAGACGTCAGATAATAAAGAAAAGGAAGAAGCACAAGACTGACAGAGTTAAGGAGAACTTCTTCAATGGTCAGATTGCTGTGGGATGAGACTGGATTCATTGGAAGTCTGACCAACCTAGGGCATTCTGCAAGACCCGTCTCCTACACAAAGCTTTTCAGCCATAATTTGAATGATTTTTGAAGTGGAAAATACACCCCCACCAGGATTTCTTCTAACCCAAGCAGCGTTAAATGCCTTCCCTCAGCTTTAAGGCACAGAATGTCACTTAATTCTATGGAACTGTCACGACTGCCTTGGGTGGATAGTGTGGGGGATGGGGGGAGGAGAGGGCAAGGGGTGGGGAAAGCAGTGGCCCCTCCCTGCAGTGATGTGATGAAGTGGGAACGTTCTTAATGTGTTCTTTGAATACTGAGTGGGGAGTATTGACCTGGAAAGGTTTCAGGGGAGTTTTGCTGGGACTGTTTGCATTGGGGAGGGAGACTTTCCTTGAGGGAAGATACCGGAGCATGTAACATGAGAACCCAGGAGGGAGGTTGGAGCCAGGTGACACCTTTGCCTGGGAAACTGGACAAAGAGTGGGGGAGGAGCCAGGGGGAGGCTGAGTGAGATGGCTGGAGGGAGTTTCAGTTTGGAGCTGGCTGGAAAAATGAAGGGGAGCCCAGATGGGGCCCTGGCCTCCCAATGGGGCTCTGGCCCAATGGGGCTCTGGCCTCCCTGCCCTCCCCCCAAGATGGACCTAACTGAGGGGGTCCTGTTGTCTGTATCTGCAAGACCTGTCTTGGACTGTGTTCCTGTCGTCTAAATAAACCTTCTGTTTTACTGGCTGGCTGAGAGTCCCGGTGAATTGCAGGAAGTGAGGGTGCAGGGCCCTGACTCCCCCACACTCCATGACAAGCGCCCACCTGTTGCTCCTGAATAGATGTTACCAAGGGCAATGAGATGCACGACCTTGGTGTTTGCACCAAGGCGCTGCCAGCAGGGGTTGGCGCCCTGCACGGCCCAGCCTTCTCGGGGGCTCTGGGTAGCGCTTCCGGACATATGTAGGGCTGGAGGCAGCTCTTGTGAGTGGAGGCAGCTGTCACATTTGGTCACTGGTCACTCCCCTTGGCAGCTCCTTCGCTCCCACCTGGGCGGTGCATGGGGCGCCTGGAACTCCACAGACAGCTGATGCATATCCGACCCTCCTTACACAGGATTGTCAGAGCAGCCACCAGCAAGAATTGGTGGCCGCATTCTGACACCTCTAAAAATGTGTTGTGCTAACCCCTGGTGTAAGGGGACTGTCTGTGACTCCCTGGTAAAACTGTTACACTGGTCCAGGAGTTCACCTTTGTTACTGGCCTGGTGAATCTAATTATAGAACATACCACCAGTTTGGAGTGTCTGCCCTGTTTTTGACAGTCTGCCCTGTCCCAGGCGCTGACTTTCATTGTGCCGGGGGGTGCTTGACTCCCCAGGTCCTGCCCCCACTCCACCCCCCCGCACTCCGCCTCTTCCCACCCCCGCTCTGCCTCTTCGTGCCCCGTTCTGCCCCCGCCCCCGAACGGGCCACATGCTCGCTCCTCCCCCCAGCTTCCTGCAAGCCGTGAAACAGCTAATTGTGGTGGGCGGGAGGCGCGAGGGGGGGAGGCGCTGATCACAGGGGCCTGCTGGCAGGCAGGAGGTGGTGCGGGGGGGGGAAGGAGCTGATAGGGGGGCTTCTGGTGGGTGCTCCAGCCCTGCAGCACTCACAGAGTCAGCACCTATGTGCCCTGCAGCAGTACTCACAGTCATAAGCCACTCCAGACCACGGGATGGGGGAATAGGTACAAGAAGGAGGAAAGGGGCAGGTCCAAGGGATGGGGAAGGGTAGCAGTGTGTGTCGGGGGGGGGCAAAGGAGAGGAGCCAGTAGGAACGAGGAGAAGAAACAGCAGGACTCATGGAGGCAGAGGTCCTGTGGAAAGTCACTATTTGATGATCATGGAACTAAAGACTGTGTCTTAGTGCACTGTCTTGGCCTGCACAAGGGGGCTGAATTTGGGTTGCCAGGAGCAACCTTCAGTCTGGCATTTCCTACCTTTGGACTTCTTGACTTGGCAACCTTAAGGTCCATCCTTTTTTCATGTCCTATGAACTCCAGGGCCCTGCTGCTCTGGGGAGGGGAAGTCCCGGTCCTGGCCCCCAGTCACTGGCGCCCACACTTGAGTGGCACTTTTCCCTCGGCTGTAGGTTAGGCTGTCTGACTGGGCCCAACCGATTCCTGGGAGCTCGTCACCTGTGGTGGCCTCATGCCAGCGGTTGCCTTACACAGCTCTGGTTTGTAGGGCAATGGCTCGGACTGCCCTGCACCCAGGGGTGACTCTGCGCCTCGTGTGCCACCTTACCGGGCAGCGGGAATGGTGATCACAAGGCGACATAGGCGCACGGCACCCACCCCCGCTTGTTACTGTCTGGGGTTGTCCTCCATGTGGCCGCAAGATTCCTGCACGGCCCCTTCCCCCCACGGGGGCAGGGCAAGGGGCCGGGGCCCCCAGTCCTAGCTTAGCGGCTGGCCTTGTGGCTCCAGCCCTGCCCCAGATCTCCTGTTTGTGAGTCCCTCTCTGGAGCCCTTTCCTAGGGGCTCCCCCACAGCTTGCCCAGGGGCCCGATCCGTGCTGAGCTGGGCTTGGGCACTGGGGGGGGACCCCAGGTGACCGATACCAGGGTGATGGGCGGGCTCAGCAGGGCGGGAGCAGAGAGCGAGAGCCCGAGGGGGTGGGGGCTGCTGGGGACCCCGGGAGGATCCTTGGGGGGCGGGTCCCCCACGTGGGCCGCGGGGGCCGGGCGAGGGGGGGGGTCTCTGCCGGGGGTACCCGGCCCCGTTGCCGGGAGGCAGCGGGCGGGGGCGGCGCGGACCGGGCTGGTTGCCGGGAGACGCTGTAAACAATGGGGGGGGGAGGGAGCGGGGTTAATCCCAGCCCCGCCGCCGCCCGGCTCAGTGCTGCGGCCGCCGCCCCCCCCCGCAGGCTTCCCTCGGGTCCGCTGCGCCCCGCCGCAGGCTTCTCTCGGGTCCGCATCCAGGTCAGTGTTCGGTGTGAGCTGACGCGGCTGCGTTCCATCCCTCCCGCGGCCGGATTCCCGGGGACACCCCTGCCCGAACCCCCGATCCCCCTGCGGCCCCCATTTCCCCCCTGCCTGCACCCCCCGACCCCCCATCTCCCTGCCTGCACCCCTTGATCTCCCAGGGGCCCCCATCTCTCTGCCTGCACCCCCCGATCCCCCTGGAGCCCCATCTGCCTGCCTGCACCCTCCCCCCCGATCCCCCTGGGGCCCCAGCTCCCTGCCTGAACCCTCATGTCTTCTGGGACCCCCAGCTCCCTGCCCAACCCCCCCGATCCTCCTGGGGCCCCCAGCTCCCTGCCTGCACCCCCATGTCCCCTGGGGCCCCTGCTCCCTGCCCAATCCCCTCGATCCTCCTGGGGCCCCCAGCTCCTTGCCTGCACCCCCATGTCCCCTGGGGCCCCAGCTCCCTGCCTGCACCCTCAGATCTCCTGGGGACACCCCTGTCCTGCTCCCCAGCTCCCTGCCTGCAACCCAGATCTTCAGGGCCCCCAGCTCCCTGCCCATACCCCCCAGATCTCCCAGGGATACCCCTGCCTGGCCCCCCCAGATCTCCCAGGGCCCCCAGTTCTGCTTCTGGACTCCTGGGACTAGCGGGAGCAGCTGTTCTTTCTGAGCCTCCTCTCCACACAGTGCGTACTGAGCAAATCTCTCCAACCCCAGGGCTGATCCTAGCCCTTGTAACTTTCCTGCTGGGGGTCATCCCTTCGCGGTCACTGCCTCTGTATTTCCAGCGTTACCAATATATCATAGTGATCCTTTTCCCTCTCTAGGGTCTCCCAGCCAAAGATCTCAGAGTGCTTTACAGATGTGAATGAATTAGCCCCTGGGATCAATATCATTATCCTTTTTACGTATTGGGAAACTGAGGCCCGGAGACGGGTAGTCAGAGGCACAACCAGAGAGAGAACCTGGGAGTCCTGATGCCCTGGCCTCTTCTTTAGCTACATGCCCTTTCTTCCCCACCCTCTCCTGAACGTGTGCATCAACAGCAGCAGCGTGCCCAGCACTTGAGATCAGGCAGCACTGCAGGGGCCCTGGTGTGCGGTCAGCAGCAGCTGTTCCTCTGAAAAATGGTGTGTTCTCTGCCTGTTCTGGGGCTGGGACTCCCTCAGGCCTCTGCCGGAATCGGAATCGGAGCCCTGGAGCTCCCAGACATTGGTCTCTAGTCACTCTGGAAATGAACTTTCCACAGCTGGCTCCACCCACCGCTTAAGGGCAGCATCTGTTTGTTGTCCCTGATGCCATAGTAACTGGATAAAAGAGAGAGGGAGAGCACGCAGGATCTCCTTGGGGCAAACCTTATGAGGGCTCTGCCTCAGGAAATCCCAGCAGGTAGAGGCTCATTGGCCTTGCTGATCTTGTCTCCTTGTGCAGTTCGTCCCCTTAGACCTTCCTGATAGCCGGTGTGATCCTTGGATGTGAGCGTCAGGTGCGGAGCGGGTGCAGTAGCCCAGTAGAGACGAGCCACGCTAGTCCACCTTGCTGCTGAGCTCTAGTGCTGTATCCCAGCGTGGCATCTCACTGCACAAGTGCCTTTACCTCTGTGTACCGGCACAGGTCTCCCTGGGGGGGGGTCTCTAATGCACCACTGGGTATGGTAGAAGCAGTCCAGAGAGCCTCGAACGGGGACAAAAAAAGCAGAGAAAAAGTAGGATCCTTCCTTGATGTGCTCCAATCCAACAGGCAATCTCTCCTGCAACGGAGCGACTGCTTCTGCAGACCCAGTGACTCAGGAACAGCGGCAACTTCCCAACCGATTCCTCTTTAGGACCTGAGACCCGGCAGAGAAAGCTTCATCCCCAAAGGAGAATTCCTGAGCTAGAGCAGAGCGCAGGTGTGGGACAAGGATGATTGTGTCACCTTAGTGAGAGCCCAGGTCTGCCCACCAATTCTGCACTAGCCCCTGGGGGACAGGACTCCTGAAGTATGGGTGCTGCTGCCCCTGCTGCAGTGTGTTGGGTCCTCTGGCTAAAGCTGATTCTCTCGGTGAGCTGTGTGCGTGCTGCCCTCCCCCGGCCGAAGTGTGATGGGGCCATTCCCATAGCAGTTCTCTCTTCCGATTGATGAAAAATAACGATCCTGGTGCAGGGAACCATTCATCCGAGCATCTCAAACAGCCATCCAAAGACAATGTCCCCATTGTACAGAGGCACCCTGAGGTAAAGCAATCTGCCCAAGGTCATGCAGAGAGGCTGGAAAAGCTGGGAAGAGATCCCAGGTTGCCTGACCTCCAGGCCCCTGCTCTAACCAGTAGACCAGTATTAGCTGTAGGTGTGCTGCTGCCCCCTACTGGAGTGTGACAGGCCAACCTGTGTATTGCAGAGGGATGGGCGGGCAAAGGGCTGTTTCTGCTCCCCAGCCCTCTCCCTAACCGGGGCTCTCTGTCTCCTTACCAGCTGTGGGAAAACACCGGGAATCCAGCATGTCTGCTGACGTCTGGGTGGGAACATGGAGACCCCACCGGCCCAGAGGGCCCATCGCTGCTCTCTACAGCAGTCCCGGGCCCAAGTACGGGCTCCCCACAAACGTAGGTGAGAGAGAGTGTCAGCGAGGAGCCCTCACAGGCTCCGTGAGGAGAGGTGGGCCGGGGCTCCCCACCAGCATCATGGAGAGAGGGACACAAGGGCCAGCTGGCAGCTCCATGCACATGCCCAATGCTCTGCTTTGGGGGCGCTCTCCACCCGCAGCCGAATGGGGCTGCTCACCCACCCCGAGCTCGCCCCAAGGGCACCCCTCACCTTGCCCCCTTGCACCAAGGGATCTCTTATTTCTCCCCCACTCACTGCTTTTCCTACACAATAAGACCTGTGCTGCTCACCCACCCGGAGCTCTCCCCTCCCCTTGCCCTTCTCAGGTCTGGGCTGGGGTCCATGCCTGCCCCAGTGGCCTGTGTGGAGACAGCTCTGCCATGCCCCACGATCCCTTCAGGGCTGGGCTTGGGAGCTCTCACTATCTGGCCCATGCCCTCTGTGCCCTGGCTCTATCTCTCCTTTCTGTTGCAGGTTACCCCCTTCACGACCCCTCCCGCTACCGAGCCCCTGCGTACAGCTTCGGCATCCGCCGCCTCCATCTGCAGGATGAGTGCTCCCCGGGGCCCAAGTACATGGTGCCAGCCAAGATGACCATGAAGGGCAAAGATGGTAACCCTGCCTACTCCATCTATGGCCGTCCCAGGGATCTGATGCCCTTCCTGACCCCCGGGCCAGGTCAGTCTGTCCCCTTCTCACATGCTGTATATAGCCAAGCTATGTGGGTGTGGCTTGATTTGTGTGTGTGTGTGTGATTTGATGTCTGTGATGGAAAATATCAGCACAGGGTTGTTGCTTCCAGTCCATGCTCCAGGGCTCTGTACAATCCAGGTGTGTTTGTCCCGAGTGATAGAGCTCCCCAGGGCCGCCCAGAGGATTCAGGGGGCCTGAGGTCTTTGGTGGCAGGGGTCCTTCTGCTCCGGGTCTTCGGGGCACTTCGGCGGCGGGTCCCGGAGTGAGTGAAGGACCCGCCGCTGAACTGCCGCCGAAGACCCAGAGCGGAAGGAACCCTCGCCACCGAACTGCCGCCGAAGACCCGGAGCGAGTGAAGGACCCGCTGCCGAACTGCCGCCGAAGACCCAGAGCGGAAGAAGCCCTCGCTGGCGAATTGCCGCTGAAGACCCGGAGCAGAAGAAGCTCCGGGTCTTCGCTCCAGGTGTGTTCGGCGGCACTGAAGGACCTGCCGCCGAAGACCCGCCAAAAACTCTTGTAGGGGGCCCTGAAAACTGTCATGGAGGCCCCTGCGGGGCCCAGGGCCTGGGGCATATTGCCCCACTCCCCCCCCCCGGGTGGCCCTGGAGCTCCCTGTAAAGCCGATTTTTTTAAAAAAAGGCTCCATAGGCAATCCTGGCAACTACAGGCTGGTAAACCTGACTTCAAGTGCAGCCAGATTGGTTGAAACTGTGGTAAAGAACAGAATGATCAGACATAGAGATGAACATGATTTGATGGGGAAGAGCCAACACAGCTTTGGTAAAGGGAAATCATGCCTCTCCAATCTATTAGAGTTATCTGAGGGGGTCTACAAACATATGGATAGGGGTAATCCAGTGGCTATAGTGTACTTGCACTTTCAGAAAGCCTTTGAAAAGGTCCCACACCAAAGGCTCTTAAGCCAAGTAAGACAGATAAAAGGGGAGGTTCTCTCATGGATCAGTAACTGGTTAAAAGATAGGAAACAAAGGGTAGGGATAAATGGTCAGTTTTCATGGTGGAGAGAGGTAAGTAGCGAGGTCTCCCAAGGATCTGTACTGGGATCTGTGCTGTTCAGCATATTCATAGATGATTTGGAAAAGGGGTAAACAGTGTGGTGGGAAAGTTTGCAGATGATACAAAATTACTCAAGATAGTTAAGTCCAAAGCTGATGACAGAGTTACAAAAGGATCTCACAAAACTGTGCAACAAAATGGCAAATGAAATTCCATGTTGATAAATGCAAAGTAATGCACATTGGAAAACATGATTCCAACTATACTTGCAAAATGATGAGCTCTAAATTAGCTGTTACCACTCAAGAGAGAGATCTTGGAGTCATTGTGGATAGTTCTCTGAAAACATCTGTTCAATATGCAGTGGCAGTCAGAAAAGCTAACAATATAAGGAACCATTAGGAAAGGGACAGAAAAGACAGAAAATATCATAGTGCCACTATATAAATCCATAGTACACTCACACCTTGAATACTGTGTGCAGTTCTGGTCATAGCGTCTAAAAAGAAAAAGATTAGGGCTGTCAAGCAATTAAAAAATTAATCGCAGTTAATCGCGTGATTAAAAAATTAATCATGATTAATCGTGCAATTAAAAAATTAATCGCGATTAATCATGTGATTAATCGCATTGTTAAACAATAATATAATACCACTGATTTAAATATTTTTGGATGTTTTCTACATTTTCAAATATATTGATTTCAATTACACACAGAATACAAAGTGTACAGTGCTCACTTTATATTTATTTTTGATTACAAATATTTGTACTCTAAAAAACAAAAGAAATAGTATTTTTCAATTTACCTCATACAAGTACTGTAGTGCAATCTCTTTATCATGAAAGTTGAATTTACAAATGTAGAATTATGTACAAAAAATAACAGCATTCAAAAATAAAACAATGTAAAACTTTAGAGCTTACAAGTCCACTCGGTCCTACTTCAGCCAATCACTCAGACAAACAAGTTTGCCCGCTTCTTATTTACAATGTCACCTGAAAGTGAGAACAGGTATTCTCATGGCACTGTTGTAGCCGGCGTCGCAAGATATTATGTGCCAGATGCGCTAAAGATTCATATGTTTCTTCAGGCTTCAACCGCCATTCTAGAGGACGTGCTTCCATGCTGATGACGGGTTCTGCTTGATAATGATCCAAAGCAGAGCAGACCGATGCATGTTCATTTTCATTATCAACCTGTGGAACTCGTTGCCAGGGGATGTTTTGAAGGCCAAAAGTATAACTGGGTTCAAAAAAGAACTAGATAAGTTCCTGGAGGATAGGGCCATCGGTGGCTTTTAGCCAAGATGGTCAGGGATGTAACTCCACGTTCTGGGTGTCCCTAAGCCTCTGACTGCCAGAAGCTGGGACTGGATGATGCGGGATGGATCACTTGATAAATTGCCCAGTTCAGTTCATTTCCTCTGAAGAGTTTGGCACCAGCCGCTGTCAGAAGACAGGACACTGGGCTAGATGGACCATTGGACTGATCCTATGGCCATTATGTTCTTATGTTACCCTCGAGATATGATTCCCCAGCCCCATAGATATCACTGCCAAGGACTGATCCTGAGAGTCAGCCTAAATTCCCTTCTTGTTCATTCTATCCCATTCCTCCTAATTCCCCTCCCACTTTGTGTATCCTCCTTGCTAATCCCTCTCTTTCCTGGGCTTCACACTCTTCTGATATTTGCAGACTTGCATGTACTGCGCAGGGAGCCCGGCAGGAGCACTAGATGGGGGGGAGCTCTTAGTTACTGTAGTCCCACCATCTCCCAGAAGGAGGCGCTGTAGGGAGCAGCACAAGAGAACTAGCTGTGTGGCAGCTCCCAGCTGCTCCAGCCCTGGCCTTTCCCAGCAGGGGGCACTGTGGGGAGCAGGGCAGGAGCGCTGGCTGTGGGGGGAGCTCCCAGCTACTCCGGCCTCAGCCTGTGCCAGCAGGGGGTGCTGTAGGGCATAGGACTGGAGCGCTGGCTATCTGTGAGCTCCCAGCTGCTTCAGTCCACGGTGTGCCAATCAGTGGGGTATGGAGCGTGCCCCTCCTGTCTATGCTCCAATATTATCCTCCCTCTTTGTTTCAGGTCGATATTCTCCAGAGAAGGCAGGGAAATGGGCCTATCGCTCCGCGCCCATCTACTCGCTCGCCTCGCGTACGAAGGAGTTTGCGAATGACCAGACTCCAGGTAGGAGAGCCCATGGGGCTGAGCTCTGACCAAGCTCCTGCTTCCCCCGCCCCACTGCACCACTGGCCAAACCCCTCAAGGTTCCCAGGCACAAATCAGTGCCCGATGGCTCAGACGTTTGTCTGGATTTGTCCCCATTCTCCCCTTCCCGTTCCCGGAAGCCCTGGCTCCAGCACGTGCCCATCTCCACGCCCAGAGACCCTAGAGCCAGTTCACTGCTTTTCCAGCCTCTTAGCCAAAGCAGGTGCTACTGGGCAGGGTGGCAAGAGACTGTGAGGGGGGGATCAACCCACCGGTTCGGGATGCGAGTGGACCCCGGATCCTGGCAACTGCTACTGAATGCTGAACAGAGGCCAGAGCCGCTGAAGGAGACGATTCTGCCAAGCCTATTGCAGGATGGGCACCGGATCTGTTTGTGATCACCCCTCACCCCCCGATTGCTCAGCTTCTCCCTAGCACACTTCTGCACTGCGATACCCTCCGGGAGAGGGGCCTGGTTCAGGGCTGTGAACGGTACAGCGGAGGGATAATGATCGTTCCCCACCCACAGCCCTGCGCTCCCCCAGTTGCTCATGGGGGGCAGTGCAATCATAAAATAACCATCTAATAGCAGCTTCCCCCACCTGGAACGTCCTGCCTGGGGACAGTGTGGGAGGGGGCAGCTTCCAGTCCTAAAGGGAAGAGAGGTGAGAACCAATGCACCTTTCAGTGGGGAGACCTGGACTTGAGGGGCAGCAACTCAACTCCCTAGTGCCCTCGCCAGGGCCAGCTGGAGCGCAATGAACGACACATATGTGGGGGGTGTCCTCGACAGCTACAGGGACTGAGACCCCACTCGCAGCCCTGGTGGTGAGGGGATGGGACCCAGCAGCACCTCAGAGGGGAGTATTTACCTTCCTGGGCCCTGTGCGCTCGGCTGGGCGCACCAGAATCCAAGCCCTTGGCGACGGAGCGCCAGGCCGGGATTTAGGGTGGGGGTCAGGGTCTGGCGTCAGTTGGGAGTTTCCCCGCTGACGTCACTGGAAAGGGGGGAGTCACCCTGCTCCCAGAGCCTTGCACAGGCCCAGCTCTCTGCTGGGGACTCCCTTGCTCTGGACGCCCTTCCCCTGATGCCAGCGCAAAGCTCGCCCTGCTAGGAGAGCGGAGACGGGCTGGCTGCGGAGGCTTGTGAGGGGGTGTTTCAGATGACTAAGGCCCAGGTGGATGGGGCTCTCGGAGCAGGGGGTCATGCCGATTCGTGGGTAGAGATTGCAGCTGATCGAGTCCAGGGTCCCCATCCCGGGAGGTCCCCGGCAACCGGGGGAAACGAACCTAAGTGGCGCTGCCACCCCTTGCACCGAGTCACAGCCATTGGCTCATATGTGGCTCGCCTGCCCCTCTGTCATGGCAGAGCAGCCGCTGTGCCAAGCCTGAGTGCCGGGGGGTGGGCGACAGCAATGGGAGAGAGCAGGGCTGGCCTCGCCCAGGATGGGAGTGAAGTGCTGCCACAGCCTCACAGCTACCATTGCCCCGCCCCCTGCCCCTCCTCAGTGTCGCCTCACATCTCCCCCCATCCCACCCTGTCTCCTTCTGCCCTCCCCCCCGAGCCC